AGTTTAGAACTCTTGTCCGCCTCTTGTTGTCTGTGTCTGTAACCGCAACTCAAGCAAGTTTTCCAGCCTACACCACTGCCATCTCGGTGTAAGTAAACAATCTTTAAAACTACCGCTAAGCGTTTGTGCCTAATTCCAGCTCGTCGCCCTCCCTCTCCGATCCAGTGTGCCCGGGCTGCTGGCCACAGCCCACGTGCAGCACGAAAAAGGGCTCGGGTCGCTTCCGGCCCGCACACATGTGAGTTAATTCAATGCAACAAACTCTCGCACATATTGCACTAGAGTTTGTTGTTCCCGGGTGTTCTGTTTGAATATGCACCTGGGGCCGCAGCATGCTGAGCTGGGGGTGGTCAGCCTGCCAGACTGGGGCTGCTCTGACCTGGCTCAGTGTGTTGCAGAGTGGGTGGCTGGGGCATGAGGGTGCTTCAGTGTGGGGCTACCTGGCAGGCAGCCCCTGCAATGAGGCACCCTCATGTCCCATCCAGCCTCGTCAGTATTGATACATGTGCTGCTGCACAGGAAATAACTGCAGTTGGATAGTACTTGTATTTAAGTACTATCCTACAGTGGAGTTTATTAGTTTACTGCAGCCTAATAGGGCCACGTGTGTAGGTGCAGAGGACTTCACTGCAGAGCTAATTAGGCAGCACCACAGTAAGAGTCTTGTGTAGACACACACATTAAGAACTACTAATGGTGTGTTTAAAGGTGCTGTTTTTTTGTTTTGTTTTTAACCACAGAGAGGTGAATATTATCTCCATTTTATGGATGGGCAAACCTTGATAGACGCACCAAATGATTCCTCTAGGATAAAGACACAAGGTACTGGCAAAGCCAGGACTAGAAGTGGATCTCCTGATTTCTAAGCTAGTCTTACTTGCAGTTCTATACTTATTTACTGCCCTAGTCTCTTCTCAGAACAAGACATTTACTACAACCTTTAGCAGAGCCAGTGATCAAGGATTTTCTCACTAGAATTTCTGCAGGTTTCAGCCAGCTCCCTAGGTAAGTAACTTCCAGTATAAGAGTAACTGCACATTCAGAAGTCACTGGGTTTAATAAAGTAATAGTATGGGAGAACCATGACCACACAGGTCACCTATAAAGCAAGATAAGAGAACTAGCTGATCTATATTCAACGTTAAAAACCTACCGAAATACCTAATTATAGGATAAACAGCAGAAAGAGGTGGGACAGAGTAATATTGACAAAGACTGTCCTGAGATACCAGTTAGTAACTGTAAATCCACCTGCAAAACAGCCTCAAACTTATGTTTATGATGAAATAGGGTTACCCAGTAAGGGGTGAAACAGAAACAGATGACAACTGATGTTGTGTGGTTACCTGCTGTATAATCCTCTGTTCCATCACATCTGACATCACCTGTACATGTATAGTACCTGCCACAACGCTAGCAGAGTGACACCAAAAATGAGGATCTCTGTAAGATATGACACCATCTATTTTCTGGATCTGTGAAAAAAAGATTAGCAGTGAGAATTTCTTCCCTCAGCCCTATATACTTTATGACTTTCTGCCAATTCAAAGAGCTGCTGGTAGCAATTATTTCATGCAGTAGACAAAATTATTATACAGCAAAATAAATTTAGTCATTTAAACCTATTTAGAGATTTGGAAATTTGACCCATAACTGGAAAAAGTTTGAGGACCAGTGTACTAGGGTTAAAATATTGCTGGTCCAGCTTTTACAAGAACAGTTATGTCTAATAATTAATTGTGTTCAGTATTATTTAGCTCCCCTTCATTATGTTGGACAGGTCCAGAGTTACCAGAAGTATTCTAGGATCGAGATACGTGCAAAAGCAAAAGGCACCACTTGGCTGTTGCTGCAATTCAAACAGTTTTCACAAAATGAAATTACTCCAAACCTCCATGCATCTAAGTCAGTTGAGTCTAGACAAGCAATGTAGGATACTCAAGTGTGCAAGGAGATGTTTATCATAGTGATGGAGAAGGATTACTTGAACACAATTACTAAATAAGATTTTCAAAAATTCATACACCTAGGATGTTGATGTCCATGTATAAGCACACGCCAATGTATAAGAAAAAGTTCCAGTTCTGACCTTTTCTAAAGCAATATGCAGATCCTTCTCATGTTCTGGAGGTAGCCTCAACAATAGTACTTGACAGGCATCTTTTAACAGTGGGATAACACTGAGAAAAATTAACGTAGCAATAAAAAGGGAGCAGAGTGGATCGGCAATCAGCCATCCAAACTGCTGAATAAATATTGTGGATACAATCACGCCAACACTGCCAAGGGTGTCTGCCAACACATGTAGAAACACACCTGAAATCAAAGCAATATGTTAAGTGACATACATCCAGTTACTTATCAGCAACACTTGGACTGCACAGTATTTGTATCCAAGATTTCCCCTGGATTTATGATAGGAAGTCAAAGTGGTCATAGTGCCGGTAGATACTGATATATCAGACTTATTTTTTTGTATTTGTGATGTGATTTTACAAGCAGATCCCAAACTAAAGCTACTGTCATTAATATTCTGTTTCCTTTTAACTCAAACTGAGATAAATATCTATACCAGGGCAAAGTCCAGGCCACAGGCTGAAATCGGGCCTGTGCTGCACTCCATTTTCCAGAAGCCCCTGCCCATGTCCCCGTGGCTGGTTTCCATGGAGACCCCAGCAGCAGTGGAGCCCTGATGGCAGGGGGCCAGGGTTTGCATGGAGACTGGCCCCAGCAGCACTGGCAGAGCACGTGGCTGAGCAGGGAGCTGCTCCAGGGCCAGGATTTTGCAGTGGTGATAGCATGATCTGGAGCTGGGACAGAACTGTGATCTAGTGCCTGCACGCCAGGTAGGGGCATGCAGGCAGTGAATTGTGGCTCTGTCCCAGCTCTGGACCATGGTGTCACTGCTGAAGATCTCAGCTCTGGCCTTGCAGCAGCTCCCTGCCAAGCCGTGTGCCAAGCCAGCACTGCTGGGGCTGGTCTCCATGGAAAGCCTGGCCCGTGCTGTCATGGCTCTGCCACTGCTGGGGTGTTCATGGAAACCAGTTGCAGTGATGTGGGCAAGAGCTGCTGGGAAATGGACTGGCCAGATCCACCATTTTGCTCATCCATAGTCTAACCCTTTGACCTGTAGTATTCTCATATAGTTGTGATATTAATGGCAACGGAGAAATCAGGATTACCAGTTGTGGAAGTAGTGATAGGGTGAGCAAGTGTTACAGAAAATTCAAAATTTATAAATAAAATTTGAATGCTGTCAAATAAAGCAACTGCCTGTATTTAAACCTGCCATTAATTAAAATAACTAACTAAAAAGAATAAAAGTATTCTGATGCTTACTCTTGGGCCAGGAAAAACATTTTACAAGTTAAAAAAAATTCCCGCAAGACCTTTAAATGCCAAACATTTATAAAATACATTTTATATTGGAGCACTTTCCTCAATTAAGTGGAAGCTTTTGGTTATAGTGAGAGGTGATGATACATTCATATAATGTTCTTATTTTGAGTTAGTTTGTTCTTTAGCAAAACTGAAAAAGAAAACACTACTACTCAGATTTTTTACAGGCTATAATTTTGAATCATAATGAACTAGGGGCATATCCGAGTAAAAGTTTACAATCAAGGCAGTTAAAACACTGTTCTTCTACTCTCCATCCCTTTCCCATTGTACTTATGCTGTTATATGCCAAATGAAAGTTGACAACAAGCTCTTTGTAGTAAGAACCTTGGATTTTATTTCTTCTACAGAATACCTAGAAGAGTTGTGGACACTATAAACAAAATTATAGATCAAATAATTTAAACAAGGAAGTGCCTCCAATATAGATACTATCATCAGCCTGGGAATTTTAAGTGCAAGAGTTGTGAGACTAGTGACCCAACATATGGTTTATTTTAACATTATTTTTGGCTTGAAGAAACTGTTAAAAAGCTACCTTTATACTGCATAAATACATGCCTAGAGAGAGATGTTTGGGGAGAAAGCAAAAACTGTGCACAGAAAATAATTTGACATAAATTGAGCAAGTCAAGTAGATAATTTGACTTAAATTGTACTTACCTCTCATATTTGCATTCATGCCTCCTCCATGGGTATGTCCATGACTGTGATTGTGCCCATGGTCATTATGGGAATGACCATGTCCATGACTGTGACCATGTCCATGGCCATGGTGTGAATGGCTGTGATCATGTGACTGACAGCCTCCTTGAGAAGCCCCATGGCTGTGGGCGTGGCTAAAGGCACAGATACCAACAAGGTTTACAATCAGCCCTCCAACTGAGACTGGCTAGGAGAGGGAGGAAGGAAAATAACTTTAACTTTACTATTTCTTCTGAAGCTAAACTGGCTTGTTAGGAAACAGAAATAGTTGAACAGAAAAAAAAGCCATAATGCTTTTGTGGTATTTCTACTGCAGTTAACACCAACAAAAGGACTTCCATACTGCCGACTGCTCAGAAGTGAAATTTCTAAGGTTTTTTAAAATGACTTTTCCTCTCAAAAATCTAGTACCAGCAAATCAGGAAATAGCAGCCCCTTTGCTTTCAGCAAAGTGGAACCAACTTTCTCCTTTAGAAAAAATGCTCTGGGAATAAAAGTGCAAGTTTTTCCTCAACACTTCAGAGTGATTTTACCAAAAAGTATGCAGCAGGA